ATTGGGGAGCTGCATACCTGTTCCAAACCAGGACAGAGAGGACCCAGCTGGCTGTCCTGACACACAGCTGCCTCTGCTCCTGCCACTGCACTCTGCTCAGCAGCAGATGGGGACATTTAAAGGGAACACAACCATGGGGGAAGCTCAGACTGGGAGGGGCAGCACCTGATCCTGCCTTCCCTGCTCTGGAGCTGCACTTGCTGCTGCAGCTCTCTGCCGCGAGGGCTGCATTCCCAGCAGCACTTGAACTGGCTTTTTACATAAAACTGCCTTCAGCCTTGGGCTCAGCAGGTGCTCACCTTCTCATATCCCACAGTTCGTCCTGCACATCCTCAGGTTTGGGCATTTACACTGCTTTAACTTGGCACCCAGGAACTGCCTGCTCAGAACCACTTTCTCCTGAGATCTCTCCTGGGGCTAATTACCTTTTTCACTTCTGTTTGTAGGAAATTAGACATGAGTTTTATGGGCAGACAGCAGAGCAGTCCCAAACCAGTTGTTCTCTCTAAGTGTCTTGTGGGGTGTCTGAATTGGCACCTGGCATGAGTTGACTGATTCCCATGCCTCATCCTGACTCAGTGATGTGTCAGGAAGAGGATGGGAAAGGCAGAACAGCACAGACCTGGGAGATTAAAACTCTATAAACTCATTTTCAAGACATCATTTACATCCTGAAATACCAACCAGGACAGCACAGAACATGGAGAGTTCCACACAGTTCTGGTGCAAATCCAACCATCTGCACAGACATTTAGCCTGTGCTGAGGTGTGTGGCACCAAACCCAGCCTGCTGGGGACACCGAGGCCAAAGCTGGGGATCAGGTGGATGGGGCAGTGGTGGCGAGACAGGGATGAAACACTTTGTGTCACCTGCATACATTCCTGCTACCACTTTAATAGTCTATTAAACTGTGTTGTCCTAATCCAGCTATTGATGGATTAGAAACTAAGAAACTCTGCTTGGGAGAGTCCTTTAGGTTACAGAGTCACAGGCGAAAATGGCAGAAAATGGCAGAAACACAGTGCTCTGATTCTACATCATTTCCCCCTTTTTGCAGGCTTGCTGTTCACTGAGTCAGGCAGCAACACTGCATTGCATAAATGTGGGCATATGAGGTAAAATTCAGGTTGCACAAGCCATCTGTATAGAGTTCTCATTTTCAAGTCTTGTCTCTTCCTTTCTTTTAAAATAGATATTGAAATTTTTGGGAGGGTGGTATAATGCAGATTTATTTGATTTTACGGGGGGAAAAAAGCTCACCTCCTGCAGCCCTTCAAGCAAGTGTTGACCACAGTCCTTCACAGCACAGAACACAGGACTTGGCTCGCTTTGCTTACCAGGTTAACTATATCCTGGAGCCATTTGGCAGTGAGGAAAATATACTGTGTTTACATTACATCCTTACATATTTTATAAAAAATAATTGCTTAATATATAGTTCTTTTAAGAAGTGAGGTGTTTACATAATTTCTGCACCAACTCAAGAGCATATTTCAGGAGTCCACTGATCCATAGAATTTACCCTATGCGTCTCTTACCAGTCATAGAAATTACCATGCAAAATCTGGAAAAAAAAAAAAACAAACTAGTTTCTCTATTTGATTTTTATATGATTGTGGAAAGTACAGACTTCTTCAAGAGCTCAGCAAGTTAGTGATGATAACCTGGCTGGAACTATCCCAGTAGAAACGTTTGATGAGAGGAAGGTTGGGGGTCAGACCCAAATCTGTGCTCCTGATGTACAAGACTCTGCAGAGTGCAAGAGCTGCTATTCACAGTGTGCCAGTGCATTAGGTGGTTTAGGGACATGCAGCATCCTGCTTTGTGCTACATTTCAGTGCAGTGGTACCTGTTCACCACAAGAACAGCTCTTTTCTCTCTTGAGCAAATGGGATTTCTACACTTGGAAAAACGACTGAGCCAAAAGCAGACACTGGCACCTACCCGGGAAGTTGTGGGTGACTCTCTCACTGTGTAAAGCCTGAATTTGGGTGAGGAGTTGTTTCCTTTTTGTATTATGCAACACCATTTAAATTTTGTTGTTTTCTCCCTGCAAAATAAGTATTTCCTAAGACAGAAAAAAAGGTGATATCTTGACATTTCTGTGTGGTTTCCAGAGAGAAAATCAGTGTAAGTGGAAAGCAAACACACTTTGGAACTGAAAAGGTGTTAGTGGGAAGTCAAGGATATGAAGAAGTAAAGGAGTGGCTGGGAAAGGACTGACATTTAAAGATACCATGATGAGGAGAAGGTTGGCTTGCAGCTAAACTAAGCTGCATCTGATACAAAGAAAAAAAAAATCAGAATTAAATTGAGGTTAGCAAATCTTGACCTGACCTTGGCCTTCCTTCATAATTTATGCAGTGTTTCCATCCTAAAGATTATTAATTGTTCTCTCGTGTTGTTTTGCCTTGTTTCAATGGAGGCGTCCCTGATAATTACTAGAAGTTAATCAAGCAAGGCAAGCTAATGAGAGCTTAAAACTTGTATTATGTAAGCAGAAAACAGGGAGAGATTTTTCATAATAGATAATTTTCTCTTTGAGCACCACCAGTGAAATATCTCCAACAAAAATACTCTCACAGTGAACTTCCTAGAAGGAAACAATAGTACAGAGCAGGCCAGGATGGAATTCTAGAGGTGATTTATGGTTGCAGTACTTCCCCATCTAGTCCTGCCTCCTGCTCCCAGCAAATGGAAAAAGTAAATGAGCTCATCAGTGTATTTCACCACTGTGAAACTGGCTTTTTTTCAAAGTTGCCTGTAATTAAAACTGCAAAATCCAAAGAACAGGAAATGCTAAAAGACTGCTTTGGCAGTGTAACAAATCAATGTCAATTGAACTTGACAAGTGTATCTGGAAACTGGATTCAGTTCTGCCACAGGTTTTCTAGTGCAAGTTCATTAGGTTCTGAAAATCAATTAAAAATAAAACAAGAAAGACAATTTGACCTAAAACACCAGATATTCCTGTTTGTACTGAGGTTTCTTGTGCTGAGGCATGAGTGAGTTATGTGCCAGGCACACCTGAACCAGAGGTGATGATGGTTTTGGCTGCTTGGAGAGAGCCTGGCTTTGGGGTGGCAGTCAGTGCCACTGCTCATCACCCCATGGAGGCAGCAAAGGGCAAATCAGGGTTTATCAGAGAATCTGGTGTCTGGCTGAAGACACAACTGCTCTGTGCAGCTTCTTCACAGCTCTCCTCAGTAACAGCCCAACCTTCAACATGGGGTGACCCTGCTGGGGAGGACTTGGAACAGACCCACACCCTCCCCTCTCCTTCCCTGGCCAAACTGGTGGTTCCCTAAGCAAAAACACCTCCATGCACCTGCACACTCACTCATGATAAATTCATATCTTGCACTGTCATGGGCAAATCAAGAGTGACATTTTCTAATGCTATTTGGTAACTACCTATTGTTGGTATGAGACATGTCTACATGTGAAAACCCAGTAGAAAGTAAGAGAAGTGTTTGTCTAATCAACTGCAGCATGTTTAGGACATTACATAACCACCACACTATGTTGCTAGAGGATATTTTTACTGTTTTGTAGCTTAGACATTTTTATAACTATTTCTTAAAAGTTCAGCAGATGACGGTGGCATATCCTGATTGTTGTCATTATCAGACACAGAAATATTTTTGCTAAAAAATGTAAAAGGGCTGGAAAATATGTTTGTAAGTTCATATAAAGATGACATTAAACTATTTAAAAGGGCAAAAAGCTTTCTTCTTCACTGGGTTTTTTGTGGTTTATAATGGGAGCACTGGCTGGATCTTTCCATCTGCTGTGCTGGCTGTTACTGCAGATGGTCATAATCTGTACATATGGCATGTGCATATATAAACTGAAATCAGGGTTGTCTTGGTGTAAAAGCAGGCACACAACAGGAGCTTGGGTGCCAAACACAACAGTGTTGGTGAAGGGGATAATTTAGAGCAATTTCATTTTCTATGGGATATTTACATGGAATTAGGGAAAGTATTTCCTCTTCACTGGAAAAGAAGTAAAAAAAAAAATCACTCAGCTCTTTTATGTTAAATTTTGGGCCTGCAATTTATTTGGAGTAAGGTGTTGGCTTCAGCTGTGCCTTGAATTTGTGTTAGGCTTTGGGTTAAATGAGGACAACACCAAACTCTCATAAACCTCACAGTCAGCCTGGTTTTGGAGTCCCTGCTTCTAACTCAAAGCTGGAGGAAGGATTTTCTTATTAGAAAATGGCCTTCCAGTAAGCATATAATAAAACAGAAATCTTGACAAATTAAATGGTCTTTAGATCTGAAGTTTGTGTTTAAGCCAATCTCACTACCATTTAATAGTCACTCACAATAATCAAAGTGGCAAAAGCCCTTGTCATCAAAAGTAGAACTTTCTGGGGAAGAACTTGCTCACCAGGCAGTTCAGCTTTTCTGCACCTGTGGTGCCAGTGAGCAGAGCTGAAAATTTCGTGTGGAATATTTCCCCATGAATCAAGTTTTAAGAATTACTTTTATAAAGTGTTAAACTTCTCATAGACATTCTGGAAAGTTAGGAAAGGTACTGGATTATTTATGTGATGTGCAGAAAACTCTAAAAGCAGCTCACAATTGCACTTACTTAAAAACATTTAGCAACAAGTGCCTGAAAGAAAAAATCATTGGAAAAACAAGACATGAAGAATTTATCAGATATGTGATCAAATGTATTTTCAACATTTTCTCTACCTCTACTGACATCCTCTGTATTACAGTTTATTTGCAATATTTGCTCATTCATCAGACAAGCCAATTGTCAGCACAGATAAAGTCATGACTCTTACTCCTTTTTTCCCTCCTTTCTTAACATCTACTCCACCGTTCTCTTTACAAACCTTTCTACCTTTCTTGTACTAGGAAAAGGCTTCACAGTGAACGGCTTCAGCTACAAGGCTAGAAAATGAAAATATAGTGACTTTAAAAGGGTTGCTGCCACTCTGATACAACTTTATAAAGTGCTTTTTCTTTTTTTCTCATTACAGGTTTGTTTTGTGAATTTAGATGCCAACAGAGATGATTGCAGCGATGAGCAAGTGAAACAGGTAACTGCTTATGTCTTAAAAACATGCACAGTGGATCTATTCAGGCCTACCAGGGCTCTCTAGTAAAAATAATGATTAAAATTCTATGAGCAAATCAAAGCCAAGCCTAGATTTTTAAGTGCTACAGAGAGCAATGCGTAAGGAATCTGAAATTGTCTCAGCACTGGACTATGTTACATATCATTTCTTATTCCCATCCCAGAAGTTTGTAATGAATCATTGCAGTCTGAATTCACAGCAGTTATATGAGCAGATTTCTTGCTTTTATGAGAGAATGTTCACATGCATCCATTTTCTTTTAATTTGGCATAATACTACATGAAAAGAGTTTCTGATGTCCAGCTCTGGCACCAGTTTGTGATTTCTTTCTCTGTCCTACAGCCAAAAAGCTCCTGAAAATCTTCCACTCATCTAGGTCTTGTTCAGCTGAGCTGTCTTACTCAGTCAAACTCCACAGAGGTAGATTATGTACTCTTGAGGAGAGGGTCTAGATGGAACAGAACTAAAGGTGTGTGTGATCTGTTTAACTGAAATTTACAAGAGTAGGAAAAAATAATTTTTTTTAAAGCAGTAAAAAACCCTGGTTCTTTTATAATCACTGAGACAAACTACATCATGATATGATATGATATTTAAAACACATACCATTCCAGAAAAAAAACCAATAAATCTGCAGAAGTCACATTTTAAAGAAAGGGCCTGGTGTCACTTTTGTGCTTACATCTTCCTTTATCAGTTCCTTTTATCATCCTGGCTCGGTGCCCATGTTTGGCACACCAATAGAGGAGCACAGGGAGTGAGTGAGCTCAGGTGGGATCTCCTGGCAGTACCCAGGGAGTTCCTTGGTTAAACCTTTACAGTTCATTTGCTGGAAACACTTCTAACTCATAGAACAACCAGTGCTGGCACCTTGATGCGTCCTGCAAGTCATTTGTTAGCAGGAACAGTTTTTCTGTGCTGTGTTCTGCATCCTGGATCTGTGAAAATTCAGTTGTCAAAAATAAATATGGCATCTTGCAGCAAAATGATTTTTCTATTGAATCAGCAGGTTAACTGTGCAGAACAGCTTGAGAGGTTTTACTTTACTGAAGCCACAGAAGCACTGGTTGTTTTCTAAAATGTGGTGGTTTTATTGCTGTTTACAGTGTTTGTTGAGGAACAAAAGCTATGAGAGGAAATAAAAAAAGTTTCTCCCTCAATCTTAGAATTAGACATCTGTTCCCAGTTTTCAGTGTAGGTAATAAAAATCCCCTGCTAGCACAGGTACTATGCATTCTTTTCCAAGAGGAAACTCCCTCATCCCCATTTCTTTGTGTAATAAGCAGGTTTTGTAAATTAGCATTGAGTGGCATGGAATTTTTATGCAATACACTGGTGTGGTGAAAGCATTTCTGAGAAGACTTCTGAAGATGTTAGCACAGCTGTTGGGCATAAGAAATAAATATTTACTAGCAGGTACTTGATTTACTAATAGATACTGTTAGGATTTTGTATCACAGATGGAACTTTTGGAATGGGTTAAATTGGAGGGTTTTGTGTAAAATAATTGTCCTTTCAGACTTCTTTTCTTTTTTTCTGAAGAAAAGGTAAAGAAGTGAAGTAAAAGATATATAAAATGCCATCATTTCCTACCTAAGAAATCTGATAAAATGGGGCTATTTAGGCAGAAAAACAGAGATACTTCAGGAAGTGTCTGTGATAACAGAAAGGTTATAATTTTAAAGAAAAAAATAAATTATGAGAACTTTTTTATGCTACAGTGAAACATCAAACTGAATTGAAGCACTGAATTCAGTTATGTCACATAAAAATATTTAGTCTCATCTGAAGATCATTCCCCTGAAAAGTGAACTGTTTCCCATTATTGATTTTGCTTTTCTAAGCCAGAATGTTTTATTATATCTAATTCAATCCAAGGAGAACTAACAGTACTGCAGGCTTAATATTTTGAGGATAAAAAGGAAAAAAAAATGAAGTATTGTTTCCCTGGTTAGTAACTAAAGCAGATGGCTGGGTGCCCAAATCTGCACTCCCTGAAGGGCTTTGCCACACATTCTGCACTGACACATGGGCCACGGTGGTGCAGAAAATGGAGGTGGTGTTTACTCTGCTCCTGCTCTGAGGGGTCAGCCTTGGTTCTCTGCTCACAGAACAAGGACACCAAGGTCCTTGGCAGAGAGAACTGCACCCTCAGAGCAGGTGTTGCCTTTTTGGCCTGGCCTTCATACACAGAGGAGCCCAAATGTCCCCTGCACAAGCTGGGGGCAATACACATCTCCTGTATAGCATCACTGATGCTGTGACTGTTCCTGCTTTTGCCTCTCATACATAACACATAGGGAGTGACTGTATCATTACAAATGGAAGGTCATGAAGGGATGCAGTGTAACAGCAAAGAAAGGCACATTTCATGTATCTCCAATATTTTTGCTATCATTGCATCAATTTGGTTGGCAATTTCTAGGTAACTTCCTCTGGTTTATTGCTAGTCATATGTGTGGAGGAAAACAGGAAGATTTGCCCCGTTCTCATTACCATGCCTACTGAAGCTTTTGTGTTTCAGTCCATGAGAGAGACACTGTTTTCACAGTCTAAGGAACTCACATGTAACAGGAACTATTTAGATGCACCAATCCAGTCAAGCTGTTTACCATGTAACAGTGTGAGGGATGGCAGATTGTCATGCTGGACACTTGAGCAAAATTTTATACTAACATCCTTGTCTTGTCTGGTGTCTCAAAAGAAAGAATGTGCATTATAATGCTGCCAGTTCTATTCTGCATCTACTTGAAGCAATACTTCCAAGTGAGCTTTCTAAAAGGATTCCTCTAAATGATATTTAATTTTAATAATTATAACTGTGCAACTCAGACCTCATTACCTGAGAGCAAGCTCTGTTTCCTTCTACAGAAGCTGATCAGTGTCTCACCCAGCCTCCCCAAACTGATCAGTTCGATGAACGTACAGCCACCGAAGGAAAATGAAATTGTCCTGCTCAGTGGATTGACAGCAGGAAACCTCCAGGCTGATTATGAGGTTCCCCAGGTAGGAGCCAAACTCAGCTTTAAGATCACATCATGCCTGTGAAGGGTGGAATTTGGAAAATGGGAAAAAGGAACTTGAAAGCAAAGACCTGAGATCAGTGTGAGATGAGTGGAAGTTTGTGAACATACAAACAAACAAACAGCCTCTGTCAGACAGATTCAAGTGTGGTGCACAGCAGGGGGACACACCAGGTACACAAAGGTAGCTGAGAGATCCTGCTATTCCCCCTGGATCCTGCAGATCTGGGTTGCAGCTGCTAATGCTTTAAGCCACACTAGCACTTGATCCTTCAGGGGAGGCAGGCACTGCTGTCAGAGATGACTGATTTGTAAGGCCAGATTTCAAGGGCAGCAGAGAGGGAAAGAGGTGACACTTCTGTGCATAGAGCTGGGCCAGGGCGCTGGCCTTTCCAGTGGCCTTGCCACTTCCCACTTTCATTCCCAATCCATCTTCACCCCTCAGCTTCATTAAAACTGCAGAGTTACCCTGGAGTACACGACTCTCTCACCAATTTACAATGTGAGCAGGTATTGCCAGGTTTGTCTGCCGCAGATAAGAAAATAAGGGAACTTTCTTTCACTGAAATTACGTTGTGTACAAAAGCCTTCCTGAAGCAGACCCTGAGACAGCTGTATTTCAAAGATCACTGAATTTTATAGTTTACCAATAAGCTGATCATTAAAGAGAGCAATTACCTGGTTATTGAGCTTTCTTGCCACTCATGACTAATGGCTGAGTTTGGAAATGTTTAACAAATACAGGCACAAGGCTGTGGTGGGAGCAATGGAGCTCCAAACCCCACATCCCAAGATGTTGCAATCCACACAGGGGTGGTCTGAGACCCAAACAAGGTAACTGAAATACCCAAGTCACCCATGTCTCCACAAGCCTACAGACACTGAGACTGGCAGCCCTCTCACAGAGAGTGGAGTCAAGAGGCAAACAGGAACTAAATAAATGTCTGTCGAGTAAAGCTTTGCATTGAGACTGGATGAGATTTATTGGCCAAATATGCCACAGTCATCCTATTGCTTGGCTTTCAGAGAAATTCATTTGTAAGGTGACTGGCAGAGTTTTGTAAAAGGATTTTTATGCTACTCCCCCTCAAGCCGTTTTCGCAAGTACAACCCTACAAAATGTGGATTAGGGAAAAAGCAAGGGAACGTCTGATCTAAAGCTGCATCTCTTTTTCATAGCATTTTTCACAATACCGTGCATGCTCAAGCCTGATTCAATTTCATAGCAGCTATCTAATTTATCTTTTCTGTTTTAACACACTGAGTTATCTGGTTTTCTTTTCAGACACATTTTTTATGTGGAAAGGAAGAGCAAGCTAATGAACATGTTAATCTAGCATAACACTCATCCCACTCTCTTCATTAGTAGAGGATTGGTTTGCGTTCACAGTCAAAAGGTCCAGGATGGTGTCACCTTCCTATGTTAGCTACTGTGCAAATGCCCAGGGGGTCCAGGGCATCTTCTGCACAGCCTAAAACTTCTGCCTCAATCCAATCCAAAGTTGGTGCCACCCAAGCTGGCTCTTTCCTGGGAGCCTGAGTTCAAAGCATGACAAGCTGTAGAAGCTTGGCTTTGGTTCAGGATCCATCCATACAACAAGCATGGTCCCATGCCGAGACATCGACTCAGCTCTGTTGTATAAATGTCCAACTGTTTTCATATCAGTAAAATGAGGATAACAAGAGTTCCTTCCTCTCAGTTTCTGTCCAGCATTCAACTTAATTGTACAGCTTCTCTAGAGAAGGCAGTTTTATATAAAGGCTGAACACATTGTGCACTGGACCCCCATTTCCAGTGGGAGGTTGTATTGGCCTGAAATAATGGGGCTTTGGATAAAGAGGGAGAGCAGCAAAGAAACAGAATAAAACAAAAAATATTTTAAAATGGTCTGTTGGATCATCTAAAGGTGACCTGCTCTTTACAGAATTATCAGGCCAGTATTTACAGGGCTGTCTTCAAACAAGCACTGCAACAGAAGTGACCTTGAAAAGGATTTCATGCCCACAAACAATTCCCTCCAGAGAGGTATTACAGGTAGTGTGAGGTCATTAATAACAGCATGTCAGATGACTAACATCAAATAATTATCTGTCATTAAAACAACAAGTTGATTGAAAACAAACAATCCCCTGTGATCCAGCTGGGTTCTCTACTAAAACACTTGTATAGCAAAAGCTGTCAGTCCAAGGAATCTTATTTTGGCATACGTGCAACTGCATGCTGTTACTAACATCGAAATGACAAATCGTATGGCATCTGTGCAACAGAACATTCCCGAGATATTTATAGAGAAGGAAGCTTAAAATAAGTGTTATTTTTTAATTGAATAACTGAGATTCTTTTCCCCTCTAGTGTCCTTGGCTGGCAGATGTCTGCTTGGTTCAGTGTGCGAGGGGGGACAGGAGGAACAGCGCAAGCTGCATCATTTTTGAAATAAACAAGTTTCTGATTGGACTTGAGCTCGTTCAAGAGAGGCAGCTGCAGACTGAAACTCGTGTCCTAAAGCCTGAGGATGACACAAACTGCTCTGTGTCCTCAATAGAAGAAGATTTCCTCACAGCCTCCGAGCACCTCGAGGATGACAACGAGGCTGATGAATATAAAGCTGGTAAAAGCAGGGGGACTGAGCATAATTGTGCTGTTGCTCATACTGCAAAACAGCTATAGCAATGCTCACAGAAATTGCACTTGATGTTAATTCATGCATATGTAATTTAGAAAATGGACAGCCATTCATATTTTTTAAGTTTTGTTCAAAGACAAGGTACATGCCTGTGCAGTACTTTTACAGAGCAGTAATGGACTACAAAGTTGTACAGCTCGTTTCTTTTAGAAATCACAAGTTAGTCTCCAAAAACTAATTTTTAATTTTTCTCAACAGGTCATGAAAAATTAAATGTTTCAGAAGCATCTTCAGATGTCAAAAAAAGTAAAGGAAAGGGATTTGAAAACATTCACTATAGAAAAGCCAGGTTGCCATTCATTCTTGAAGGGAACTGCATTAATAAAGATAATGCAGCTGCTCAGGTCTCTGAAACTGTGAATGTTTTGGCTGAAGATGGCATCTCACAACCTGAAGCTAAGTCAGACCAGGAAATACTGTGGCAGAAGGAATTAGCTGAAAAAGGTACTTCATCATTTAGTACTACTAATTTGACTAGCGGCAGTGAAAACTCAGCAGTTGTGTTAGAAGATGTATCTGTAACCAAAATGGCCAAAGAGGAGCCTCGGGGTGACCCCACAGCAAAACACAGCAGCAAGGCAGACGGGGAAGATTGTGCAGGTATCAGGAAAACTGATCCTCCCTCCCAGAATGAGCAGGCGACCACAGGCCAGTACGCCACAAATTTAGCAGAATCTGTTCTGCAGGATGCATTCATTAGACTGTCACAGTCTCGACCCAGTTTCAGTGAGGAGGCTGCAGTCAGCATCTCTGTGGGAAGCTCCTGTAAGTCAGAAGATGCATCTGCTTCCCGATCATGGAATGAACTCCCAAAGATTGTCATAGTGCAAAGTCCAGACAGCTCTGAGAATGTACCTGACTGGCCAGGGTCTGCCTTCCCCAGCCTGAGCCACTGGGCTGAGGCAGAAAGCTCTGCTGAAGTTTCAGATTACTTTGAGGAAGAACACTCAAATGGCCATGACCAAAGTGCACTGGAAGTGGCTCTGGCTTGTGCAGCCACTGTCATTGGAACCATTTCCAGTCCCCAGGCTGCAGAAAAGTTCCGCCGGGAGCAGGAAGCCGCAGACTCGAGAAGTGGAGTGGCTGCTGATGAGGAGGGGCAGGCAGCACCCTCACAGCTCCTCGACTGTGCTGGCACGGAATATTCATTCCCGTCTGCACTCTGTGGCATGACTCAAGTGGCAAGTGCTGTAGCCATCTGTGGCCTGGGGGACACAAAGGAGGACAAGTACCCTGCAACTTCCAGTGGACTTCTGTCTGCTGCTCAGGCCTCTGCAGCCATCACCCTGCATTGCAGCTTAGCTGTAGGAAGCAGCATGGAGAAGCTGAATGAGAGCATTGCCGAGGCGCTTCTCAAAGAGGCATCCGTAATTCTGACAAAACCCAACACATACAAAAATGTAGGGCATTTTATGGAATCCATGAACAGGAAAATTATTGAAACAGCAGCAAGACCACGTATTCCACGTGCTGATGGAGTGATCAGGGACGAACTTGCACAAAACTTATCCAATATTATTCTACGACATTCTATGGAAGAGGTTAGGAAGAAGAAACAGCTACAAGCCCATTTAGAGGATGGCTCAAGTACACAAGACATTTTCACAGAGACTGCAAATGAGTTACTTTTTAATATAATATATTTCACTTGCAAGAAGATGAACGACATAAGGCAACTTGAAGAGTGTTCTCCTCTCTTTTCTGAAGGCACAAAAGCAGAGAAAGTAACAAGAGCAGAAGGATGGCCAACAGCCTGTGAAACTTCACACAGCCCCCTTGATCACTCTGCTGCTAAGCCATTTGGTACATCCTACAGCACCAGTACTAGCAAAGATCTTGAAAAGGTCACAAGCACTTGCAAGAGTGAGTTCAAAGATGTAAATAGCAATGAAGTTTCCACACTGAATTCAGAACCAAGTGGAGATACAGGGCATAACATACTTGGTGCAAAAACATCTCCCAAGAAGAGATACCTGAAAAGAACCGCACGAGACTGTTACAAATCCCCAAATCAGAGTAACAATCAGCATCAGAAGAAAGACTACAGATCATTTTCAGACAGAGAAAATACTCTTGCAAACAGTGAATGCAGGCACGGTGTTCAAGAACAGCTGTCTTCCAGTGCCACCATAAATACAGAAAACCAAGCCAAGATTAAGTGTGATTCTGTGCTAAATAATGATGTTCAACTTAGCTTGTCTTTGTTAGGAAACCATGTGTTGCTTCCTTCTCAGCCTGTGCTACAGGTGAAAAATTCAAGGGACAAATATTGTATAACAGACTTTGCAGAAGAATTGGCAGAAACAGTTGTCTCTATGGCAACAGAAATAGCTGCCATTTGTCTAGAAAATTCAAATGGCAAGCAACCCTGGTTCTGTGCGTGGAAGAGAGGCAATGAATATCTGGTGACCCAGAGTTTATCATGCAGAACCATGAAAAGGAAGAAGGAAACCCATACCAATGGTTCTGTGGTTCGGAAGCACAGGGCGCCTCGGCTTAGTGAGATCAAAAGAAAAACAGATGAGCATCCTGAGCTAAAGGAAAAATTGATGAATCGGGTAGTAGATGAATCTATAAACCTTGAGGACACACCAGATTCAGTCAATCTCTTTGCGAATGAAGTGGCTGCCAAGATCATGAACCTCACTGAACTCTCCATGGTTGATAGCATCTGGCAAGGTCCAAACCACCCCAGGAACAGACTGCACTGTGAAAGGTGGAGCCGAGCCAAGGCCTCAAGCTGTGAGAGCATACCAGAGGAGGACTCAGATTCCAAAGCCTCTTTCAACACCCTAGGCCTCATGAACAGCTTTGGTCACTCTCTGAGCCAGACAAGTTCTGTCTCAAAGCAGTCTAGTTGTGAAAGCATTACAGATGAATTTTCAAGATTTATGGTGAACCAGATGGAAAACGAAGGAAGAGGTTTTGACTTATTACTGGATTATTACGCAGGAAAAAATGCAAACAATATCTTAACTTCTGCCTTGCAACAGGTAGCCAAGAAAAATGGCCATCTTAATGTAAGACCAAGTTGCCCATCCAAACAGTCCAGCACAGAAAGTATAACAGAAGAGTTTTATAGGTATATGCTAAGAGAAATCGAAAAGGAGAACAAAGACAATGCATCATGCTCTCGGAATTCAAAGGACTGGTGTGGCAGTTTGCTGGCACCCTCTCTGCGGTCACCTTTCTGCTTCAGGCAGTCATCAATGCCCGACAGTCGATCCTCAGGCTCCAGGCTTACAGTCAACGTCCCAATAAAAGCAAATTCCCTGGATGGGTTCGCCCACCACCGCCAAGATTCCCTAAGTGTCCAGTCCGTCAGTACCGTGGCTTCTGCAGGGCTCTGCAAGTCTGACTCGTGCCTGTACCAGAGAGGCAAGACTGACCAGATCACAGACATGCTGATCCACGAGACCTGGGCCAGCTCCATCGAGTCCCTGATGCGCAAGAACAAAATCATCGCAGATGAGACAGAGGCTACAGAGGCAGACCAGTTTTACAGTGATTCTCCACCACATGTGGAACAGTATGCAAAAAGACTGGCTGCAAATATTGTTGAAAGTGGTAAAAGTTTAATTGTTGTCCAGCAGGATTCCTTTGATTATACGAGCCGAGAACACGTGGAAAGCAAACATTCCCAAAGCACAACCCAGATACAGCCCAAACCCAAAACGGAGGAAGTAAATTTGGATGAGAAAAAAGAGCACATGAAGAGCCCTGGAAGCCTCCCTGCAGGACAGCTCAGGGAAGTGCCTTTAATTCAGATAGAAACTGATCAACGAGATGAGCCAGATAAAGACTCAGAGTCCTTGACTTCATGTGGCCCATCTGGAAAGGGGGATCAGAGCAAAGAAAAGCCTCCAGCAGCTTTGGATGGGAAACACATGGTTTCCAGTTCCCCAGTAAGTAGGTAAGTGACAAAACAGCAAATCAGCACATTGCTTTGGTCTTTGGTTTATTTTCCCAGTAAAAGTTATTTTGATAAAGGAAGAAGATAAGAGTGGTACTTTTACAGAAATAAGCAGGATAAATTTTGACTACAGGTTTCTTTTGGCATAAAATCATCCAATCATGTGTCACAGTGATACTTTCTGAAGAAAACTTATATTGACTATGACATTATGGTATTAAGATTTAAATCTAGTACTGCACAGACAAGGTCTCTCTCTACAGACATTTATGTCTCCCATAAAGCAGGAAAGATGGACCAAGTTTAAACTTTTATTTAGTGCAGGCTGGTATCTGAACTAAAAAATAGATAAATAAAAATCAGTGCTAGTGTATAACAGACAGTAGGATTTGACCTGTACTTCTCTGCTATGCTTGTTGCAAGTAATGTTTTCTGTACCTGGAAACAAGACCAGACTTCTGAGAGCTTGAGGTTTAACTTTGTGTTTACAGCCTGGAGTTACAAGTAGTAAAAATTCTTTAGTGAAGGAAAAATAAGAATAAAAGTAGCCCTCACCTCTTAGTTCAAGACTTCTCTGGTAGAATTTAGATAGGGAAAAGAGCATTTTATTTTAATGTCCTTTTGTAGAGTTTACATCACAGCTTACCACCCTCTCCTTACAGCTGTACTCCTTTTGTAAGGAAATCTGAAGCTTGCTTTTGTTGAGGTAAAGTGTGAGCCATCATGAGAGTGCAGTGCAAATGCAGAGTATTGCTGTGGGTGCTCTGAGGTGAAGGGAATGCTCTCTCTCAAGGTGTTGTCTCTTTGTCACAGTACTTCACTGTATCTGTTCCTTTAGTGGTCTCTAAACTGCCAGTCTTGGAGCACTGCAGCACCTCATTATCTCAGAGTGGCAGAAAAAGTGCAGGTGCTGGTGTTAGAAACCATTTTGTAGCTCATTTTATTCTAGGCAGGGCTGTGTTTCAGCATTTGACAAAGCTCTGCTTGAAGTGAGAAAGGAGATAGATTGTAAGCACTTCCCTGTGTACGGCAGCAATTGGGTGGATAATTACCGTGGTGTCACTGGTCTTTCATACTGACTCTCCTGCACTAACCTTCCTCTTCCTTTAAATGCAACCTGCTTTTAGTAAGATAAATTTAGAAATCCACCTATTTGGACTCTTGACTGCTTGAAAATGAAGTTATTTTTACACTTTACGAGCCCTTTCATCTTTTCCTCTGCCTTTGAAGCAGAGCTCCCAACATGGCTATGACATGGTTAAAGCAGGATTGGTAGGGCAGAATTGCTAAGCAGAGGCTACATCTGCCTGAGCATCTTGGCTCAGCAATGCTGTGCAGTTCTAGTTCAGCTTGCCTCCATTTCTGTCCATTGGCCTCATTTGCAGCATGAAATGCAGAGTTCTTCCAAAGCAATCTCAAATAGAAGCTGCTCAAGTGCTCTCCAGATGTGCTCCTATCCTTGCTGGGAAGGCAAAGGCTCCAGTGGTTCTTCACACAGATCTGAACTATTTGTGGCATGGCTGTCTGGACTAAGTCTAGGCTGAAGTGAAAACCTAGAAATGTATATAATGTAGCTATAAAAGCATCAGTAGAAATTGCTCTGATCCACTCCTACTGCATGAAATTACTTGCCAGTTCAGATACAGGCACATAGGACTCCAAGCAAAATATCAAGCAGAAAGAGTCAATTAGGGGGAAAAAAAGCCATGAAGACCTTCAGCAATGAAAAAAAAGCTGTTTCTTGTATGTAGGCAGTGCAATAGAGCCACAGTTACACAGAAACTGTTCCAAGTGACTGTTCACAAGTGGGGAACTGTCAGTTCAAAGCATCACTGGTGTGAGATGTAATTGCATAATGAATCAAACAAAACCCAAAATGCCAAGAAACATCACCCACACAATCTCTTGTGTTTTGGACCAGGTATCAGGAGCTGCCTGTCCTGTGCTAAGAAGCTGAGTGACACCCCTGCCCTGTGGCCTGGCTGCTCAGAGAGGGCAGGGGCAGAGCCCTGGGCACAAGGCTCGGGGTGGCAGGCACAGGGGCTTGGCAGAGCTGACTGCCAGGGGAGCAGAGCCCCAGGCAGGCAATTCCCATTCTCCCTGCTCAGGCTGCATCTCTGTCATCCAGCATTAATGCAGCAACCTCTGAGAGTGAGAGCTGGCAAAAAGAGATACCCACAATGATACTGTCCCAGTGTATGCCTAATCAAGGTGATTACTGAGGAGCAGTAGATTTCTGGTGTGACCTCCTGCTTTACCTGAAAGCAGATGCCTTAACCACAGCTACAGATAAAGGTCTGAAGGCAAGACTTCTCTAGAGAGATCCTGCAGAGGGTTATCTGAACATAACATTGCTTTAATCCCTAAATTGCAAATGCAGACTATCCAGTGAATATAACAAAACTACAGTTTTGCTTTACTTGTTATTCTGGCACTACAGTGATATAATTATTGGAGGGACTGATTATTTTTCTTTGAACCAAAAGCCCAGCTTAGCTGTAAAAACTGAGCAAAAATACAGTTTCTTTTTTTGTTTCTGTGTTTGTTGGGAGCATGTGTACATATATATTGCATAGACACATGTGTGACATATGTCAAGTGTGCCTTTTTCCCTTAACCCTGTACTTTCTAAACTCAGTCTGGGCTCCATCTTCAATCTGGTTTCTGACTGTTGCAATATTTTGTCCTTCCTCAACCTAAGCAGTGAAGATCCTAAGGACATGGTAGACTCAGAATCATTACTGATTCACAACTCACGATACTTTCCTACTTTCACTTCTCTCAGATCTACAATTTTAATAAAGTAGAAAACCCTGTCAAGAACTTTATTCACCCATTGCACGACAGGAATTTAGCAGCAATATATATCTCCAAGAAATTCTGTCATTCTGCAGTAACATATATCACATATTTCAATCGCTGATTGACTGAAGTGCATTAAGCAATAAACCTTTACAGTGATCAGGATTTTTATACATGCTAAATCTTTCTGTGCAAGCTATGCATACTTAAATCTAGCGTTTGTGTTTATTTATAGCAGTCATAAGAAAGTCCTTTTTTAAGAGCATCTCAGGCCAGATGTTCTGCTGGACTCTATGTATAAATTATAAGCTTGTCCAATCTTCTGCATGTGTATAATTCTGCAGCTTGGTTGAGTTTAATGAGCAGCATTGCCTGAAGATTGGTGGCACCAGTTTGTTTGCTGTATTACAATATCAATGTGCCTTCCCTATTGCTCTGCCAGCAGCAGCCCTCAGAGCAGATCGGATGCTGAAATCATCGGAGAGACCAAAACAGCTGAAGAATTTCCAGCCCATCTCAGCAGCAGTGAAGAGAGCACTGGCAGCTGGTCGCAGCTGGCCAACGATGAGGACAACCCTGATGACACCAGCAGCTACCTGCAGCTCAGCGAGCGCTCCCTGAGGTACCCAGCCCACGTTGTCTCTTCCCCTGCACCCTGTGCTCTGCCCACCAAGCCTACCCTGCATCAGCAGTGAGAGGCAACAGCTCAAGGTTTACTCAGAATACTGTAAAGAATGTCTAATGGCAGACTTTGTCTCTTTATTTTTTAGTAAGGGAAAAAAATTACCCATGTTCTGATTCTCAGCCAGGTCTTTTTGCTATTGGTGAGTAGCTCAATTCAGACAAAGAAAAAAACCTCCTGGCATCACTAAAGTGTCTCAGTCCTACTGCAAAAAGGCCATTGTAAAAGTTAATTTCTATAGTCTTTCTTTTAATTTATTTGCTGCTGTTTGCCTAATGTTTATCTTGGCACCTCCTTAGCCAAGATTGACAAAACTGCCATTCCCAGCAGAAATCCATGCACTGAGAACAAAGATTGAGCCCTGATCTGATTAGACTGGCACAGGGGTGCAAATTAATAGAAGATGACCACCTTTTCCCTGAGTAGACATAAATTCAAGAGTTCCTACTACAATGACCTGATTTTGTTCCAATTCAACTCATGACAAAAGTTTGAAAATGTTATTTAGTCCTTGGAGTTTATATAGAGTGGTGGTAGTTGGACTTCAGCCCTTTCATAGCATCAAATTGAGTAAGGTTTTTCCTTCACATGCTCTTAGACTGTGTTTCAAAATATTATCAAGTAATTACATCTTTCTCTTAAGTATTAAGATGACAAGGAGGGAAGACATTATGGTAATGAAGCAGGGAAAAGAAAGAGTCTCTGTCAGAGAGCACTGTTGGCTGGCTGAAATGACTGAACAAAACATGGCTGTCAGTGCAGCTGAACGTTCATCCTGTTATTACAGTATAACCTTTAACAAAGTCCTTGGTCTGAAGGAGCTGAAGTATTGTGCCTTTCAGCTCTGCACTGGAACAGAAATTGCTACAGCAAGTCTGAATGCATGGCATGCTGACAATGTCTCAGATTGTCTCAACACACTGATTAGGAAAGGAACTGTCTAATCAATCCATCTAATGTAGGGGAAAATACTGTTAGTTGGTTTTTCAGTAAAAATTAAGTGGTTCACTGCGACTTGCCACACAGAATTTGTTCATGGTAATTGACTTGCAGCCAGCAAATTCACAACCTGTCCATGAGACTATCACAGTATCTGCATAAACATTCACTGTCACATTTATAATGATGTTATAAAGTGAGCTGGTAATATTTTTTCCAAATATCCTCAAGTGTGCTACTTCATCCTTGTGAAGAAGCCAAAGAGAATTCTTCTTTGTATTTGTGGTCCCAATGAACAATTGGCTTTGATTAAAATCTCAGTCTTTCAGAGTAGTCAGAAACATGAGGGGCCATCCCTGTACCTGTGGGTTCCATCAGACCCCAAACAGTATTTGGGGTATGATGCAACACACTGAAACTGCTGCTGGTTACCAGTGTGGACTTACCCTACAGGTAAGTGTGTGATGGGCAGCCAGTGCCTTGCTCCTGAACTGCCCGTGTTCACAGGGAGCTGGATCTTTGCAGGTTTCTTGCAGGACATCTCTGTACCTGCTAATCCTTCTTTTCAAGGACTCAGACTCCATTTTTGTTTGAGGCCAAGTGTTCATTGCATAAGCCATTCACAAGAAGACAGCCCACTTTCTTCCCTTGCAATTTACAGCATCACTTGATGCACCTGATACATGTTTGATCTACAACTATTTTAAAAGAAGCCCCATTACTTTAAGCAGACTAGTGTGCTTTATTCAGGGAACTACTTGCTGAGCACAATTGATTTTATGGAACAGAGCTCCTCCCCGCTTTGCTTTGTACAGAAATAAATTTTTAGAAGATGTATGGAGACATGTTCAGCACAGCTTGGCACTAATACTTCAACTTTTGCTTTGTCAGCAATGGCAACAGCAGTACAACTAGCAGTCTTGGCATTATGGACCTGGAAATTTATCAGGAGAACGTGCCATCTTCTCCTATGATTAAGTAAGTAGTCACTGAAGTGAGACTTGATGTTTAGTCCAATTTTAACTGCAAATCATTTATGCCACTGAAACCATGCCAAGCCCTGCTTTGCACCTGCTGCTGTGCCTGCCCATGGCTTCAGAAAAAAGCACATGCAGGTGTCTGTGCAGAGTGAGGGCACCAGACAGTGAAAAATTACAGGAAAACTCAATCAGGTGGATCTCTTGAGAACACAGATCCATCAACCACCCTGTCTAAAACACAGTTCTCTGTGGTATCACTTTTCTGTCATCAAACCTTCTTCTCTGAATAACTTCAGATATTATCAAGACTCTAGTGTAATACCAAGGAAAGTCAAGCAAATAAGGATCAATTAAAAACAATTTTTAAAAAACCCAATAGCATTCTTTCCAATAATAATAACAATAATAATTTGGCCCACAGTAATTTTACCTATTGTTTCTGGGAGTGTTTCTACTGAACATGCAGTTCAGTTATCAAGAGATGTGTGAGTGCATCCTGCCTAAAGATCCTGGTACAACCTGCCAGCTGGTGAATGTCATTATGCAGCCAGGGCACACCCACTGCACAAACCTACACAATGGACATCACATACTGAACGTGGCAACTTCTGAAGTCAGTGACATCAGAAAATTGTCACAGTAAAATACAGACATTGGAAATTCAGCATTTCCACCCAGGTTATGAGACTTGCTGTGTCTTACCATAATGTCATTTGCTTGTCATTTCGTGAACTCTAAAGATGCACAGATCCTGGTGAAACGTAACACATGACATAACTAATACAAGTACTTCATCCTGTTACAGAAAAATGCTGCAGTTCAGTTTGTCCTGATTCACAGATTAAATAATGAAATATATTCAGCATTTTATTGTTTCATCCTGTGTAACCTTTTTCTTGCAGTTTTCTAGGTCTTGCATTGAGGGAGAAGTTTATTCATCATGAAGCAGTGTTGTAGACTGTTCCTAAGTATGACTAATAAGCTTTGTTGTTGTTTGTTTCTAAGTGAATTAGTAGAAGAAAAGGTTTTCCTTAAAGAACAGACAGAAAACACTGAGGGTAAGTTGAACTATATCAATTAAAACATACAGTTTGAAGATAACACAAGCAATTACACAGTAACTAGTGGGATTATTTTTCTAGAAAGTACTTCTGAGCTTTCAGTGGGAACAGCGAACTGCCAAAAGGACCTCCTGGTGATAAACTTTGATCTGGAGCCAGAGTGCCCTGACGTGGAGCTGCGAGCCACCCTGCAGTGGATTGCTGCTTCTGAACTTGGAATTCCAACTATCTATTTTAAGAAATCTCAGGAAAACAGAATTGAAAAGGTAATGTTTACAGAATTTTGCATACTATTAATTTCTACATAACTGTAACAGTTCTGATTTATTGAAGTTATTTACCTTAAAAGCAGATGCAAAAACATCTTCATTACAGCAAGATGGCAACACTACTGTTCATGAGAGAAAGGAATGAGAGGACAGGTGTGTCAGAACTTAAAGGATGTGAAATATGTAGCACATTGTCTATGGCGTAAGAAAATGTCACCATGATACGTTGATGAATCTGTTCACCTTTTCATATCAATGATACATTAAATACTAATGCCCAAGGCAGAATTAACAGAGTCCTTTATGTGGCTGCATTTGAAAGGCTGCGCGTGGCTTAGATGGAGTTTAAGTGCAAAGGTTTGAAAAAATAAAAATAAAAAACATTTTTGTGTAGACATCACATGTATAATGTTCACCTACTTGGTCATTATAATGTGAGACATTGTTTGGACTTAAGATTTTCAGTCCTTATGCTGGTTCTGCCTTGCCTCTAACACCCACTACAGCAGCCTGAGGTTGGTCTGGACTTGTGCCTGGCTGTTCATAAACTGCTCCAGCTGAGGGTGCAGCTGTTGAGAGGAGTCTCTTTCCAGAGAGAGTGGAGAGACAGATGACTGAGAAACCTCCTGAGGTGTTAGCCCAAGCCAGAGCCAGGAGCAACACTGAAGTCCAAAATAGCCACAAGAAGTGCAGACTCTATTTCTGAATGATCAGCTGGGGCTCCCTTGTAGACCCCACCAAATACCAACCACAGCAACTCAAGAAAGACCTAAAAAGAGACCCATTTCCAAGATCAGCAAGAGAGCTTAAGCTTTAAGACTTAAAAACATGCTAATGTTTAAGTCAATTAATGAAAAGAGTATTACAAATCAGTATTTTGGTCTCTTATGGGAAGATCATTTGGAGTAGCAGAGATATTGTTTGATTTTCTTGAGTACATGCATTTGGGAATCATAAACATAATTTAAAATGCATTCAACAGCAACAGTCCAAATTGCATCTAATTAAAGAAACAGCTGTCAGCTTTACCCATGTGCTTTGGCAAACAGTTAATTCAATTGCAAAAATACACTAGAGAATAATGAAGCACATCCTGCCTACAACAGCATTCTTGGAAATCACGTGCCTATTAAATATCATTAAAATATATATTAAAAGTTTAGGCTGCAGTGTGTAAATAGCAAACAGCTACACTAACTAGAGACACAATCTTTTCTTTTGTGCTCTAAAACTAAAAACAGAAGGAGCAAACTAATTACTGTGAAATTAAAAGAATTGAAAAGTTTTGATTTTCATTTATGTGCTTCAGAAGAAAAAGGGACCAGATGGATGACCCTGTGTACCAAGTGGACAAAACTCAGGATTTTTTTACAGCTGCTTAAGAACATATATTTAACCTCTGGTTTCTCAAGAAATTTAAAAAAACCCCCAAATACAGATACTGCCTATGTTTAAAACACACCTGTGATAAATGTCTTCATGTGACAAAATTTCACACAGAGTTCCCTCTCATCAGTACTATTTGAATATTTAAAATACTGTGGCATATAAATATGGAAGTACAGAAAATTAAACATAAAGTAAAATATAGCTAGTGGTAATGCAAAAAAATATGTTTTCAAGATGGATAATCTCACTTCCATTATTTTGACAATGAGTCGTTGGTAACATGGCAAATAGCGATCCTTTATCAGACTGACTTTGTCTGGTTTTACTTTCATTGCAATAAATAAATAATTGACAGAAGCAGTTAATTTAGAAAATGCCATGAGAGCCCATCAGTCTTTGGGGAGCTATGGAACTAGAGAAATTAAGTTTTTATCAATAGCAAGAACGTTGATGTTGCTGTGCACTGAATGGTGCCCACTCCCTCAAACAGCTGTACATTTACAAAGGGTGGGCTGACAAGAGTCTGTGTCTATGCATTCCACCAAACCTTAGAAAATGTTCACCAAATCTCAAGTGTATTTCATGGTGTTGTTTTTATTTAGTTTCTAGATGTGGTGCAGTTGGTGCAGAGGAAGTGCTGGAAGGTGGGGGATATCTTCCAAGCCGTGGTGCAGTACTGCAAGCTCAGCGAGGAGGGCAGAGAGAGCACACCCAGCCTGTTTGACTGGCTGCTTGAGCTGGGCTAACAAAGCTCCTGGTTCAGCTCTCCTGTTTTATTCCAGTTTAAATAAGCAGTGGTTTGTGTAATGCTCTGATTTCTGAACATCACTGAATAAAATGTGCAAAATGTACAAACTCTACATGAACAGCACAAGTCCGTGCCACAACTGACCCAGGAGCGAAGTGGATCTGAATTTATTGTGTCTGTATCATGAGGGACTCTTGACATGTTGTGCTGTAGGATGCACTGTACTATGAGGGGATGGATTTTTAGCCTCCTGAATTAATGAACTGCACAGTAAAGACTTAATTATCTAATATATTCAATTTTCATCAATTTAATTAAATCGGTCAGGTAAAATGGGATAGTAGCCTACCATTCAGTTTTAAAACAACACTGATATTTGTACAGTTTAACTGTTAGAAGCAGAGTGTGTTTCAGAATGCCTGGAGACACCCTTGTCCCTAGATAATATTTATGGGTTTCTGAAATCCCCATGATCTGCTAAGGAGTAAAAAAGCTTTTGAACACTTAACACCTTTGCAGTTAGACAACACCATAAAAAGCTGCTGAAAACACATTTTAGTTTCTTCCCATGTGTTTATTTCTCTTCCATAGCTATTCCTGACTCCTGCAACCTTCCCAAAGAAATAAAATCCAGTCTCCTAGTTCCTATCCTTAAAAGATGGATTCCCTGGGAAGCAGTGCAGTTCAGTACAGCTACACCTGGTAGATCCTGCACACAGCTCTGTGAGCCAGGGCAGCAGCTCTCGAGCCCTGTCCTGCCCCAGCCCTGCAACCTCAGACGAGTCATTTCACCTCTGTGCCTCAGTGTCCCTGCCTGGCAAAAGGGAATCATGATAGTACAGCTGTTACCTAAAGTGCTGCTGTTGAAAGCACTATGTAACATTTTACATATCAATTAAAAGCAGTGAAAAAAAGAACTATTTTAATTTAGTGTAATTGAATAAATTGTTAATGAGGTGAAGAAATGCATATCTTAAAAGAGCACCATCTTGTCCTAAAATTCTCAAGGTTAATTTTTGTAACTTAGAAAAAAGCAAAATGTTTGTTAAAATTTCAGCAGACATATGTATTCATTTTGAAGATACTATGTGTGAGAGTTCACATTCCTATAACATTTCTATAATTGTTTGATAAGATATACTCTGCTATTGTCCTGTTGAGATGACCTGTTGATATCATGCACTTAGTAATACATTCTCTCAACTCTGCCAAAGAGACTGGGTGTGAATTTAAACGTAAACATGACTTACAACATCACAGCTCTTTTGCAATTTGTTTTTTGAAAATACTTTTCATCTCTCTTACTCAAATAGTGGAATAGAATACCTGCCTGCTTTTCCCAAAAAACTATTTAAGAGAAGTTTTATTTTCCATATAACAGTATATGCTTCTGTAATATTTCTTGAAAAAAAACCTATCCTTTTGCACTAAATATTTTTGAAAATTTTGAAGTAGTTTTAAATAATTTATGAAAAAGAGCCATATTCTCAGTTTTATCTTTAAAACCATTACAAAAGTTGCATGATTGCATCACTCATTTGTTACAAAATACAAACTGTTAGTGAATCAAAATCTAATGAGGAACATTAAATAACATGAGTAATTATCAATCTACTCTGCAGTATAAACAGAACAGGAGAGGTCGCTTTACAGTCAAAAGAAAAGTGAATTTATTGCAAACACTGAACATAACTGGAGTCACTGGGCCAATGGGAAAGTGTATTTATTTTTAAACCAAATACAGTTAGTTGTCAGTATACAATTTTTTGTTGTGATAGAATAAATGTTTACAAAGCACAAATATCATGACAGAGTTGTAACAGTGTGATGCAGTTTCTCTGTACAGTAGTTCTTAATGTTGCAATTAATTCAGAAATAAATTTATGTTATAATGTGTGTCCTCTTTGCCTTCCTAAAATGTTCACAAATGAGCTATGGATTTTTTTGACCTATTAAATACTTGCCTGCCATCCCTGGAGCTTCTCAATGACAAATCTGATCCATGGCTCTGACCAAAACAAGGCAGAGCAAGGTCCAGGTCTTACCTCAGTGACAGAGCTACTTGGGTTCCACAAGTCATTCAAGAGATAAAAGGCTAAACATAACATTCTTAGTATCACAATAAAGATAAATGATACCCTGAGTGCCCAGCATAATTCCCAATGTACAAGCCTCTATCAGTGCTCACTCTGGCTGCTTTCAGTACTTGCACAAGTGAGCAGGAGGGTGGGGAGAGAAGTTCTGGGCATTCCCCTCTCCTTGTGTAAGTTCACAGGGGCATTTACTGCAATATTGTCTGCATACCTCAGGTCTACACATAAAAGGAAACCATTACTTCACTGAATAAATCAGAAAAGCACTTGTCCATTCTTCTTTTTTTTCAATTTTTAAAAAAATGGGTATTGAATACACCCAAATGAGAACAACATACAGCCTTAGGTAAAAATCTCCCTCTGCATGAGCATGATATAGGTTTTTAACATCAGGAGTGGCTGCTCACCATCTTTCTTGATAAAAACTAGGATACAACAAATTAAAATCATATGAGCAGGATTCAAAGAAAACAAAAAGAGATGAGAAGTTATCAAATGAGAGGATGCAAGGAGCTGTACACAGGTTTGAGTGGGAGCTGCAGCAGTTCTTGCAGAGCTGTCTCAGGGATGCCCTGGCCATCAGAGGCCTCATGGAAGCAGCAGCCAGGGCTGCAGTGCTCCCCTTTCTGGAGGTGGCTTCAGGGGAAGGTGCATTGCCACCCCAGGCTTGATTCTACCACCCACATAATGAAGAGCAACCTTTGGCCTGCAGATCTGCTACTCTTCAAAAGCAATTCTACTGTATTTGAATTAGATATTTAAAAGCTTTATTTTTTATGTTTTTGTGTTTAGGGTTCTTTTAATGTTAAGGTTACTAGAAGCTGAAAAACTATAATCTACCTCAATTTTGTTCGTACCTCTGAAAATTTTTATTGTCTTCAAGTAAATGAACCATTTATGGACTGTGATAAAAATAGCCACCTGCTAAATTCAGTAGATAACTTTTCTGAAGAGGCCAGTTTGACACTTGCTCTTGCTCTGTTTCATGCAGAGCTGCATGACAAACAAGCACAGGAATGCCACTGTGAATCCTGAAGTCTACATTTCAAAATGACAGCGGGAAAAAGCTCACCAGTCCATTGATAAAGAACCCACATGAGCTACTTAAATAAAACAAACTGCAGCTCAGAAGGAAAGCACATCCATACTAGCCAATTTAAGAACCTGAGTCAGAGCCATTCCTAAGCCTTTGCCATGTATAAGCAAGCCTATAACACCAGTATTTCAGTTTTGCCAACCCACTCTGAATCCAGTCATCACAAGGAACAGGCCCTCAGAAGGCAACTTGCAGCTGTGCATTATTTAGCAGGACAGACAGCACTGTTAGACAGCTGGACTATCAAACTAATTGAAACAATTTGCAGAAGAAAGGGCTGGGTGATGGGTACTGCATCCCCCTCCCAGCTTCAGCTGAGAATTAGACAGTAAAGTGCAGCAAACTGGCAAATAGAAGCAGGAGATATTTCCACATCCTTTTACTAACTACCCAGGAAATGTGAGTGATCCCACTGAAGGAGACAAAAAAAAAAAAAGAAATTCACACAAAATGCCACTTTGAAAACATGAATGGGTGTGAGTATTACTGTCATCACCTATTCAGAAAGAATTGGAATCTCAGATGTCACAAGTCCAAGAACACATCATGTGCTCACATGGAAATCCCCATCCTTGTGAAGGGTATGTTCTGTCCTAGAGCAGTTACATGACACCAACTTCTTTCCCAGAAAAACAGAATTGCAGATTCACAGAGGTTCATCCTGAAAAGATTTCAAAGGTCTAAAGGACAGAAAGAATGCAGCAAATATGATTTCTACAGTGACAAACCTAAGCACTTCAGGGCTCTCCTGAGGTAATCCTTTTCAATAAGGCCACAGGGAGCCAAGTTTGTCAGCATTTCAGGGTAATGTTGAAAGCTACATCTCCAACCACACAGTGATTAAATTAGCACTTGGATAGTATAAGGTGGGCAGTTTAAAAAAGTGCCAGGTAATAGGGCTTGAACATACACATTCACCATTTTGGTGGAGGGACTAAAGTGGAATCAGAGAAAGGGATAAAGCTGCTGCCAGACCCACAGAATGGTTCCAGCAAGTTATATTTATGCAATACGTTCCTAATGCCTATATCTATAATTTACAAAATCCACATGTGAGTAAACCAAGGTGCAGAGAACCTAATATCAAAGCATTCACAGAGAGTATCCAGAGTACAACTGAAGCTCCTACAAGGTACCAAGCCAGCACCCTTTCCAGCAGTGCTGTGAATCACACCAGGTGGGAAAATATTTCACATATGAGCAGGAAACTTAGATAATTTAGCCTGAAAAGCAGTTCTACACACTCAAGAATCAAGGAAGAATAAGAAATAGAACCCAGACAGCCTGCCAGTCTAATGCATACTGTATTAAACCTCAACTCTAATTTCTTGCAAAAATAGAACAAGGGCTAGAAGCCAAAGCTATTACAGATGTCTGATTCACTAGCATAGTATAAGGAAAAAATAATGAAGGAAGACACAACAGGAAGAAAACCAAACTAAAAGATTAAGAGGGGGTGGGAGGAGAATTTAGTTCTAATCACAGTCCAAATAATATTTTCTACTTCGTGATAGTTCACAGCAAGTCAAATTTCAGTTTTTAACTACATAGCAGTAATTGCAGACACCTCACCTAGTAATTTTTCTCCAATTTTGTCAGCTGGAAATCTCCCAGGACACAGGCGCCCATCAGTCTAGGGACATTGAGCAATTCCAAACCAACACAGAACAGCACTGCCCTTCCTGGCCCTTTCAATTCCAACCTTCTGAGATACATTTTTGTCATTCAAAAATTTTGCACAAACACCTAGGAAGCATCACAGGTATTACAGAGACATTTGTGTCAGCCACTTTACCTACTGGTGAAAGTTAGATTTTAAATTATCTGCAGCTCTCTGCTCACTTCTCCCACAGCACAGCACCACTTGAAATAACCAGGAAATCTGCCAAGGCTTGACAGAGACTTTTCTGTCTTCATTTACAC